GGTTTTTTGTTATTTGTTTGTTTTTTAAATTTGATATAAAATTAGCTTTTCATTTAAAATTGATAAAATATTCGATTATTTATTTGTTTTAACATGTTTATGTTAGTCTAGTTTATAACAATAATATTCAACTTGTATAAACGTTATTTTTGTTTTTTATTCTACATAATCTTGGTATTATAATTATATTAAAAGTTATTAAAAATTGATTTATCCTCATAAAACGCAGCAGATCATCTAATAAATAATAATTATGGATTTAATATTTTAATAAATATAGTTGTAATCATATAAATATATTTCGACCATCCAAAATATTTATTTTATTAATAAATTATAAAATTTATATCATATTTATTAAATACACCTTTGAACTCTTGTTCTATTTGTCCTCTATTGTTTATTCTGTTTCATTTTTTTTTCTTTGTAGGAGCGGTATTTGAACCGCTTGTTTCTCCTTGATCTGCTTATTTTTGGATTTGTCTGATCTGTCTTTTTTGAATCTGTCAAAAAAAAGATATCTGAAGATCTATTGTTATAATTTGAAATCTTAAGTGCAAATGTTTTCAGTATGTTATATAGCTACATCATAATAACATGTTTTGTATAAAATGATGTTGATTTAGTGGTATTAATTAATATATCTATAATTTAGATTATGATGCAAATTTTAACATATTATTTTTCTAATTATATATATATATATATAATCCCTTAAAAAGATCATTATTCAGAAAAATATTAATTCAACAGATATTTTAAGAAAATAAATAATTAATAAAAATTAACTTAGGAAAAAGTAACAAAGACTTACTCTACCGAGAAAATAAATTTGATATTGTTCTAATCTAATCTGATGAGATCACCATTTTTGAGACCTCTTTCATTTCTTAGTTTTCGCCATCCTTTACTGAAAATATAAACACCACTAAACTGAGCAAGGGTAGCATCATATGAATTAGTACCATCCTTTACTTCCATTTGAATACCTTCCGTAGGCATTATAGTTTTCATTTTTTTCTAATATATTTTCAATTTTTGCTTTTGGTAAATACAATACACCATTTCTAGAAAGATCAGAATCTGTTAATCTTTTCTCTATCATCATATTTGGATTCATTATACTAAACTTTTAACTATTTTAAGAATATAATTGAGAAAATGCTTGTATAAAATAAAATATTTGAAGAGTTTGAAAATTTCAATCCATGTATTATATATATTTATCGGCCAAAATCTTGTTTCTTATCTTTTCTGTTTATATTAATAATATTAATGCTCTTAACAACAAATTTCTGAATTTAGTTACTTACGAGGACATGTTTTCTAAGTTGGCATATGTTAATTTTTTAAATTCATAATTTTATAAGTTTAATTAATTATTTATTCTTATTATGTTCAATTGTATTTATACCAACTTTGTTTTTATTATTCTTAAAAAAGATCTTCCTTCATAATAAGATAAATTTAATACAATAGCTAAAAAATGTAAATCTATTAATATCATAAAAAATCATTTCCAAACACTCTGGAATTGAGTATTTGATACTCGTAGTTTTAACATATATATTTAAATTTAATAATGACTATGATTTCATAATTTATTTTTGGATTTTAAAACACAATTAGCAACAAGAAATCTTGTACAACATAATTTATAACATATACAGGTTGTGGTTGAATATGGTGGATCAGGCTGAACATTCTGCACCAATAGGATACGAGGACATCAAAGACAATTTGATGTTATTTTGTTTGAATTTTTAATAAATATTTTGATTAACTTGCGTCGATATAATACTTTTTAAGTTTCATATGTTAACATTCTCCATTGCAGTATACGACTGACTGATTTTGATATCAATATACATACATATACATCACATGATGTATCAGTTGATACTTTATTAGGATGATTCAAAAAAAATTCAATATTGAAAATCAAAAAGTGTTAATCAAAAAGTGCATGAGATAATGATTATTAATTATTTCTTTTCTTCTCAAATGATTTGGTAGTTGTTTATTATATAAAGTCGAATCTATGTGTCATTAAATTTGCGACATTTGCAAATAAAACCTGGCTATTTAGTCGAATCCATGGAAAGTCACTTACTGAAACCGGAATAAAAAACTCATAGCTATTTAGCCAACTAAGTAACAAAAAATAAGTGCATGGAAAATATTTTATTGAAAGACACGCACAAGCAATAAAGCGTCGCAGAACCTTGACCTCTCATTAGTGTTTGTTTAGCAACTTGAATTGCGTGTCATATATTGCATGCACAAAAAAGTCTAATATATACCATAAATAATATGGATTACGGAAACGTAACAAAATCTTGTGATGCATGACGACTTTTAAGTTTTAAAGACCACGTATCTTCTTTTTTTTTTTTTTTTTTCCTGTTCCTCATTTTTATCCACTTATTTCCCGTAAATATGTATAAAAAAGCTGTAACGTTTTGACAGCTCCTACCGGCGAATCACTTATCCCTCCATCAGATTCCATCCTGTTTTTGTTCGACTACCAGTGCATTATTTTTCCAGGAGTCCAACCGACTTATTTACTGATCCTGCAATCACCACATGATTTTTTCCCGTGTTTTGGCTTCAGTCACACAGTTTTGTGAATTACTTTCCGAAAGGTCATCCATCCTACTCCTGCTCCAGCTCAAGCACGCTTAACTTTGGAGTTCTCTCAGGCTCACTAACCGAAAAAATAAGTGCATTTTGATGACATAGGTAGCCAAATCAATCATTTTAAACTTATTCAAATGAGTCGGGTCCAGGTCATTACAATTCTTCTCCACTAAACAGGAATTCGTTTCCAAATTCTGATCCCGGCAGTATGAGCCATAACCCCCCAAACCCCAAGATAGCCTCCTGAGACAGAACCAGTTTGACTTCCTAGGGTCTGATACCACTTGTAACGCCCCGACTGCTCCAACCGGCGAGTCACCCATCCCTCCGTCGGACTCGTGGCCCCGCCCCTGTCTGACGGCCAGTGCGTTATTTTTTCCGGAGCCCAACCGACTTATTTACTGACCCTGCAATCACCACATGATATTTTCCCGTGTTTTGGCCTCACTCACACGGTTTTGGAAATCACTTCCCGAAATGTCACCCATCCTACTCCTGCTCCAGCTCAAGCACGCTTAACTATGGAGTTCTCTCAGGCCCACTAACTGAAAAGATAAGTGCACTTTGATGACATAGATAGCCAAATCAATCTATTTAAACTTATTCAAATGGACCGGGCTCGAGTCGTTACAATTCTCCCCCACTAAACGAGTATTCGCCCCAGAATTCTGATCCCGACAGTGTGAACCATAATCCCTAAACCCCAAAACAGTCTCCTGGGACAGAGTCGTTACAATTCTTAAAAAATTAAACTAATAACGATCATAAAATAAAAACCGGATCGTGTATGTATGTTTTTAGGTTTTGTTATGTTCCACTGCAAACCAATTTAACCAATATGTATATATTTATATACAATACATATCAAATGCAAATATGCTATACAAAAGGTAGTTATCAAGATTTAGGACCATATAAATAATTATTGGCCATGAAACTTTTCTTTTGTGCCCGCAAGGTGGTGGGTTAGTGGTAGGACGGGCTTGGTAAAGAGTGAAATTCTCCCACCCGGGTTCGATCTTCCTCCCTTGCTGTTATCAATACTTTGTTGGGAAGTCTGTCAGTTGGGCCTTGGCCCAACTGGTTTACCTGGTAGTCAGAAATACAGGCGGTCGGACTACCCTCTGGCATATAGTCGGATGGCACTTCAACTCGGTATAGGCAGTGTGGTAGCTCTTTGGATCTCATGGATCTCATGGCCCGTTGACTCAGCTCATGGTGTCCGTTGAACCATAGACAATCAGTCCCCATACCGGAGCTAACCGGATAGCCGATAGGGTATATTAAAAAAAAAAAAAAACTTTTCTTTAGTTGTTGCAAACCAGTCGTACATAAAAAAACATTGGATCGAGAATCAAACAACCATGTGTGAAGTCTTGAAAATTTAGCCCAAGATAATAAGCAAGTGATTTTTTGCAGCTCTTGTTAGTTTTTTCTTCCTTGTTTTCTCTTATTCAAGCCAATGTTGTTTTGAATAAATACTTTTTGGTACTTGAATACTTTTTTATGATTCATTTATTCTTTAAAAAAGTTTTAAGAGTGAAACGGTTTTGAAATTTCCAAACTTATTACACTGACGCTTGTGGAGTCTTTAGAAAGCGTAGTTAACCGATACAATCCAAACTCTATCCAACAGTTAAACAAAACAATAAACTAATTTAGTAAGTAAAGCCGTTGGAGAAATATATATATATATATTTTTGTTTATTAACAAGCGCAATATTTGAAATGAATGGGCCGTATCGGAATTGCGTTGAGTCTCCCCCTTTTTGACTAGCTTCATATTTTTAAAATAGAAAATTCGAAAAAATTCCATTTTTATAGCTTGACTGTGATTCCAATTTTCTATATTTGTCATTTTCTCGGAGTGTGAATTCTGATTGGTTTGTTTTGTTTTTTTATCTATTCTTGTGTCGAATTAGATATTTTCTAAATTTGTCATTTTCTCGGTGTGTGAATTCTGATTGGTTTTTTTAATCTACTCTTTTTTCTTTTAATTCAGTATATTTGATTCAAATGGATTGTCAATTTGTTAAAAGACTAAGGAAGAATATACTCCAGGTTAGGCTCTTTTAATAAGAGACTATTTTGTCACACACATCTTCATAATTTAAGCTAAAAAATTATTATATTTGATCGCTTTAAAAAAAAAAAGTAAAAAAGTCGAACACGTTTTAAAAAGGAAAAATTAGTATGATTCACCAAAATCCCACCTGTGTTAGACTTAGGAAACAACGCCGACTGTTAATTTAGGATTTATTAATAAGATTCATTAAGATACACGTTTAGAAAAAGGAGATAATAGGATAAGATTAGCCTTAAATCTTCCTTTTTGCATATATATATATATATATATACAGTAGGAGTCTCAAGCTTTTCTACGTAAGTAACAAACAAACACAATAGTGAGAGAAAGGTAGAAGGCGACTGAGAGAGCGATGGCGTACGACGAGGAAGAGTTGTGCAAGATCCTCACTGTCTGTAATATCATGGATGATAAATTGAGTCCGTCGGAGATGGGGAACTTAATTTCTTTGATTGAAGACTTTGATAAGCACAGAATCAGCCACAGCGAATTCAGTGAGTCTTTTAAACTTTTGTTTGAGGATACCGAACTTGAAGAAGGTGAAATCCGACAATACCGTGTTCGTAATAAGATTGATGATCAAGCCAAGTCGAATCATGTTGCGGTTAGGGCTAGAGAAGATGGTAACTCGGAAAAATATGGTCGTCCAAAGATTGGAGCCGATCTTCAAGTTAGGGTTAAAGTAAATTTTTCTGGCCAGCGAGAGTCGGAGAAAAACGTTACCGATGTGTTAAACCTAGATGGGAAGAAGACAAGGTTCTTGCAATCGAACACACGTGAGAAGTCTCTGAAGAATACGAGAATGTCTAAGAGGTTAGAACAAGTGACACCAAGCTATATGATTATACCCGAGGAAGCACGGTGTCCGGTCCAAGACACGGTACTGAACAACAAGTGTCGTCTCAAGAGGCTTGATAACGGTTCGGGACATAATAAACTATCTAAATACCAAGAAGCAATGGCGACTTGCGAGGACGAGATGTTCGAGACAGATATGGTGATGGGAGCTCTGAGGAGTGCAATTGATACTGCAGAGAAAGTCATGAGGGAAGAGATGAGACTGGAAGATGTTGGAGTAAAGTTCTACAGATGCATCGACCAGTTATATGGTGGCCTCGATATGTCTGACATTGTGAGAGAAGAGCACAAGAAGGCTTTACCTCTGATCTCAGGTCGGTTGAAGCAGAAACTGGATGAGCTCACTTCTAAGACGGAAAAGTGGGAATGTGGCTGGAAGAAGATCTTTCAAGACAACACTACAAAGCAAATCAAGTTTGACAGCAAAAAGCCAAAGTAGAAAAGCAAATTTTAATCAAGTTTTAGATGGTCAGGAATATTATTATATTTTATTTTCGTTGTTATGTTCCAATCTATGAAGCTATGTATAAAAAGAGAGTTTTGGGTTATAATTTTTCATTATACAAAAAATAGAATCAAAAATATTTTTGATCAAATTAATGATTATTCGTTATCAGATTTATAAAACTATTTTCTGATCATTGCAAAAGCAAAGTTTTAGTAATCTTTAAACAAAAGGAAGTTTGGAATACCCTACATTCATATGTCATAAGTTCACTCCTGTATGATTGATGCCAAAAAAAATTTGGAAAAAAGGAAAATGAACATATATATGAGTTTGCATATATAAAAGAGCTTCATATGAACTAATGTCGTAACTTGTAGACACTACACTTGACCGTAGACAGTTTTTGCTTGTTTATGTATACGTCTCATGATGTAGAGTGTAAATACATACATTGTTGAACATAAGTACATTAGTATCTTGTTATTTCCCTTATCTTACCTAGATGATACTGTCTAAGAAATGATTGAGTTGCGCTCCAGTAATAATAATAATCACATATCTAACCTATTAATCGTGATGATATGATCGTGTTGATGATAAATTGTAAATTTTTATCATGTTGTAATGCATCGTATTTCGTATTTAACATGAGGGAATTATAATGACACTGATAAGTAGAGTGAAAGACTCAATTTTTTTATAGTTGAAATCAACACAACAATAACACTAAAGTTTCTCTGTGACTTACACATTAGATTTTTTAAGTTTTATAAACATGACACTTCAGCAAAAATAATCACCAATCAAAACATTTTATTAATACATCTCATTTAATTTTTAAACTTAAACCCATTAAAACCTAAATATTTTTTCTATTAATTTTTGTTTTATTTTTTACCAAACCCAAGCCCAAATAATTAATAACAGCAAATAAAAAAATTATTATTTTATTTTTTACCAAATCCAAACCCAAATAATAAATAAAAACAAATAAAAAAATTAAATCATTGTTTTTTTTTGTTTTTGCCAAAACCAAATGCAAATAATAAATAACAACAAATAAATAAATAAAAAAATCTAGCTATCTATTTGTTTGACATAGACGTATATGATTGAAAAAGTGTAGGCTCAACATCAACTATGCTTTCATGACAACAACGCAAAAAGGCATTATGTTATAAGAAGCTCACACATCAGCAAAAATTTGAACCGATAAAAACATAACAATTTCTTAGTTTTCGCAGGAAAATACAATTTCACGGGAGATAATGCAATTTTTGGTTTTCGCGGGAAATTGTAGTTTATTTGTTTTTGTAGGAAAACGTGATTCTGCGCTTGACGAGAAAATGATTTTTTTTTTGGCAGGAATAGACGATTTCTCAGTTTTCGCAGGAAAAATAATTTTTTTCGATTTTGGCAGAAAATACAATTTTTTTTTTGATTTTTGCAGGAAGATGAAATTTTTTGGTTTTTGTGAAAAAACGTAATTTCTCGGCTTTGGTGGAAAAACACAGGTTCTCGCGAAAAAATGTAAGTTTAGGGTTTAGGTTTGACGAGAAAATGAATTTTTTGGTTTTGGCGCGAATAGTCGATTTCTCAGTTTAATGGAAAAATAAAGTTTTTTTGCTTTGACGGGAAATGTGATTTTTTGATTTTTGTAAGAAAAACAAATTTCTCAGTGCTAAATTTCTAAGTTAAAGTATGTTACAGTAACCAAAATTTAATTATTTAACTTTAATTAAAACGATATTTTAAGAGTTCAAACATAATTTTCTATTTAGTTCTAAAGCAATTGCAAAATTTTTGATATGAATGTTATTGATTATAGTTTGGTAGTTTTTAGAAACATATGTTTATAATAAAATATTTGATAAATAAATAAATTTATAATTTAAAATAATCATATTAACTAATAAATCTTTTTTTTAAATGGCATTTTGCTTTATATAATTACAAAGGAGGATCATGTAGTAATTTATTGAAGAAAATAGATTACATTTGTCATTAGCATGAAAGTACTAAAAATGTATTGCTTTATTCATATATATTTTATTTCTATATATACATTTATAATTAGTTAGCTAACTAAATTTAATAGCAAATTATAATTTTGAAAAAATATATATATATATATATATAATATTTATTCAGATTTAAAACATATAAATATATAACTTAAGCTAATAAAAAAATAAATATAATATATTTATATTATAAAAATAATTTTATTATATTAAAAATATATACAAAATTTATAAAAATATATTGCAGCATAGCACGGGTAAATACCTAGTAGATATACAATAAAACCAACTTTTACATTTAACGAGTAAATTTAGACAAATGGTATTGTGGAGCATAGTGAGTTAGTGACATGAGTTCAATTCTTGTTCTCGCACTCCAATGTCTTTTTGTAAAACTTTTTAATATAGCGAGTTTTATATATTTCTCACATATTAGTTTAAATTTGTATCCATTAATACAAAATATATCTAGATTTTGTTTGTTTTAGGTTATTTCTCTAACATGTCTAAAACTGTCATAATTTGACAATTTGTATTCAGTAAAAACAAATGCCACACTGCTAGATAATTTGACAATTTGTATTCAGTAAAAACAAATGCCACACTGCTAGATAGGAGTCAGATATCCAACTTTTACTTGTCTTTTATTTTTTTTGGGCCAACATGAAAATTTTATAATAAGCCCTGGTAAATAAAAGACTCAAGACTGAAAGCGTACGTAACAAGGAAGAAAATTAAAGATGGAAGACGAGTCAGAAGCGATACAGAACTTGCGTGAGACCATCAAGAAGAGACTAAGTCCGTCCGAAATGATAACATACGATTCATTGGCTAAAGACTTTACGTCACATAGAATCGGAAAGAGGGAATTGACTACATCGCTTCTACGTTTGCTCGAGAACGACGAGTATTTTCATCAATGCTTCACAGAAGTTGGCCAACGACCTTAAAAAAAAAGAACAAGAAGAGACCCAAGGCGATGAAGTTACCGATGTTGAAGAATCTATTCGTGATCCAACAAAGATTGAAGCCGAACCTCAGATTGGAGTTAAAGCAGATGAGAACGCCAAAGAAGATCAGAAGACCCTCCTGTTCGTGGTGATTCAAACATTGAAGCCGATCTTGATATTCAGGTAGATAAGAACCCGAAAGAAGATGTTACCGACGAGATAGAGTCGAGATAAAGTCGGAGACAACTCTTATCTGCATACAGCATGCTCATTTATATTATTTATGTTTCTTTGCTTTTTTTGTCGTTATTTTTTGGTCCATCAGCATACAATATCGTAGTAGGAATGTCTGTGTATGGCATATGTTCCGGATGGTTAATAAAACAAAAATGGTGTTGTTTGAAAGATAAAAAAAAAATCCTATGATTTATATTCCATAGTCATTTAAATTTGATCACCGTAGGCGCGTAGAGATATAAAACAATTAAAACAAAAAAAGAATGAATTTAATCTAAATTAATTTTATTTGTATTTTAATTTTTATTGCATAAACTGAAATTATTTATAATTAAAATACATTTTTTTATCATTATTGGGGTTCATACCGTCACCTCATTGACTTCCCAACAGCATTCAATCAATTTGGTGCTGCTTGCTTTATTAATCGGTTTAAATTTAACAATAAATAATGAAAATATGTGAGATTATTGTTAACTTTTAACCATAAAATCAAATCTAATATTTGTAACTTTTAGAATATTTTGGGAACTTTTGGATATTTTTATAATTTTTATATAATATTTTGGAAATTAATATGTTTTATTATTTAAATAATAATATCTTTGAAATAAAAAGTTAACTATAGTTAACATTTCTGTTAAGTTGGTGTAGCTAATGAGTAAATAAAGGAAAAAGTTTTAGTTGATTTATTAATATGGGTATTGAAAAAAAATTGTGTATTAAAATGGTAATACAAATTTCGTTGGTGTGTTTTTATGGGATTTTTCCTAATATTTAATAGTGTGAACACACTCTAACCAAATAAGAATTTGAGAAAGTAAAAAAACCAAGTTGAGTAAACAAATCAAAATATTTCGTAAAGAAGAACAAACGAAAGAAGTACAGAAATTAAAAACATGTAAGCAAATAATGAAAGAAGCAAGTTAACGATGTAAGCAAATAATGAAAGAAAGTAAGGAAACACAAAATCAAAGAATCAAAGAAACAAAGAAGAATGAACCAAGAAAACAAGTTAAGCATGTAAGCAAGCAATGAAAGAAAGAAAGCAATTTAAGAAGTTAACAATGTAAGCAAGCAGTGAAGGAAGTAAGGAAACACATAATCAACGAATCAAAGAAACAAAGATTGAAGCAAGAAAACAAGTTAAGCATGTTATAGCAAGCAATCAAAGAAACAAGCAAGCAAGTTTAACAATGATATAAGCAAAGAAGGAAGCAATGAATCAACAAAGCAAATATGCAATGTATGTGGAAAGATCTTTGGGGAAAACATTTATGTAGCATGTCGAAAGTAGTTCTTACCTAAACAATGTAAGCAAAGAAGCAAGTAAGACCATGTCCTGGTTCTATACATCCGTTGTACAAGTGTTGAAGCAAGCATGCATAGAAACAAAAAAAGCACAGTAATATTTTCATATTTTCAACACTTCAACTCCATGAAAAATTGTATCATTTCTTAGAAGAACCTGGTGTCCATAGTCTCACCAGCTTAAGGAAGTCTTTGTGTTGAGCATCGTCTGAATCAGTATACTATGTGAGGTCGCACTGTCAACACATTATTATACACTTCAGTCAAATTGAAAACTTAAAGAAACATGCATACCTCGAATTTATTGAGAAAGAGAAACCGCTTCATCTATGTCTGATCATGAACTTGATGAGAATTCTCTTCCCTTGTTCTAATTGTTTCAAGCTTCGTCCCTGTGAATAATATAAATGACCAGGTTAGATCAAAGAACAAGAGCATTAACTTCACTATACCATGTTTCTCTTACTATACCATGTCACTGTCTGCTGCTAAACGTTGTATCCCACGACTTTTTTCCTCGGGAAATGTTGCGGTCCTTGCGGAGCCATTATACCATCTCTTAAGAGCTCTATGTAAACAACTACACCTGAAGCGCAGGAATAGGTTTTTTCAGCAAATTCAGGCCTCCAAAGACACAGAGAGATATAATCAGAGATAAGCTGTGACATATCAGGAAAAATCTGAATTGTAGAGTAATAATATAGCTCACTCCCTATAACGATTCGTGAGTTTTAAAGCCTCATCCCTTTCATCTTTTTATTGTGTAGTTGTTGTTGCATTTGAGAGGTCCGTGTAGGTAAGACAGCTGCATTTGAATGAGAGTTAAAAAAAAAAAAAAGCGTCTTGATCCTCTACAGAAACAAAGACATAATCAGAGAAAATCAAGTTAAATTATACGAATCTAAATATCTCACTCATTCTCAAAACCTCATATAATATGTTGTTTTCTGCATCTGAGAGCTCCCTGTAGCAGAAGGCTGCATTTGAATCAGAGAAACTGACTTTTCCAGCAAACTGTCAAGCTTCCAAAGAGACGCAGTGAGAAAATCAGAGAAAGGCTAACAACATTAGTTTCGAATTGTAAGAAACTCATTTTCTCACTCTCAGTATTGCCTCGTCGGTTCCACGTAGAAGGCAGCTGCAAGTAAATCTCAAGATCTCAAAACCTGAACAATTAAAATCTTAGATACAAAAAAGGGATCACTCATGGTAACATGAACATACAAACTCCCTAGAGTTAGCTAATGAAGAAGGAAAGACAAGAGAGAAGAGTGACTAGAACCGCTAAAGTGCTGTTAGGCTGGTATAACTGGTTTCGATAAACCACTGTTTCACATACACAGAAGGGATGGTCTATTGGGTAATGACGAATTTGCCTTGATAGACGCTCAAGGGTTTCATTTGTATAATGTTTCAAATAGTAACCAAAATAGTAACTATCTAAAGCAAGATACATATCTAATAGGAAGATAAACTGAGACAGTTTAGTGACAAAATAGAATATATATATATATATATATATCTAATAGGAGGATAACGCAAAATACAGCAAGCTAGAAAGGAAGGCAAAAAAACTAAGTAGGCAAAGAATCAAAGCAAGAAAGTAAACAACGAATCAAAGAAACAGAGTAGCAATTTATGAATATGTACACTAAAGCAAGTATGCAGGTAAATAAACAAAAAATGTGAACTTGTATGTATTTATGAATGCATGTAACAAGTATGTAAGCAAGGAAGCACGCAAGGAACCAAAGCAGTAAAGTTAAAAAAAAAAAACCAAGTAAGCAAGCACAGAATGAAGAAAGAAGATAAGGAAGGAAGCAAGAAGGGAATGAACACAGAAAATGAGGAAGCAAGTCAAAGAAACAGAGGAGCACTTATGTATGTGTACAAGTAAGAACGTATCCAGGTAAGTAAATAAAGAATGTGAGCATGTATGTATGTATGAATGCATGGGACCAAGGAATTCAAGAAGCAGGAATCAAACAAGCGCGCAAGGAAGTAAACATCAAACCAAGGTAATAGCAAGGAATGTGAAATAAAAAAGGAAGCAAGCAAGCAACAGAAGAAGTCAAGAAAATAAGTAGGCAGAGAATCACAAGGAAGCAAGTAACTAAACAACGAATCAAAGAAACAGAGGAGCAATTATAGAATTTGTACAAGTAAGCAAGTATGCAGATAAGTAAACAAAGAATTTGAGCTTGTATGTATAAATGCATGTAACAAGCATGCAAGCAAGATACAAGAAGGAAATAAGGAAGCGAGTAAGCAAAGGAATGAAGCTAGAAAATGAAATAAGAAGATAAGGAAGCAAGCAAGAAAGTCATGAACACAGAAAATGCAGAAGAAAAGTAATAAAACATCAAAAGAGCAAGCAGAAGAGAACATGTACTTGGATTAAGCTAAGACGGTCCAAAAAGATAAACATCAAAATATAATCAGTAAGACAACACCAATGATTCCAAAGAGAATTGTAATCAACTTCTCATCCGATTTATAAAACTAAACACTCATATCTAGACAGATCAAATTAAACACATGCCAAAGAGAATTGTAATCAACTTCCATAACACATAACCTTAATTTATAAACAAGAACTGAAACTTTGAGATTATTAACTGCGGGATGAAATCATATATGAAAATACAAAAGAAACAACGACTAACCTGTAAATCACTAGTGACAGTTACGATCCATTTTCAATTCGAGAATACAAAAAGTGTAAATTTGATTGCACTTCATTGATTTTAATAGTTAAACTCTGAAACATTCAGAAAAAAGCTTCATAGATTCAGATCCCAAGTTTTGTACTAAACATGTAAAAGAGGATGCGGAGAACACATACCCTAAGAGACGATTTCATGATAAGAACGATAAATTGGATCTAACCTATAATGAACAATACAATCACCATTCACGCAACTGAACGATCAAAGCCTTTTCCAAAACTCTAATTAGCACAAAAGAGAAGATATAATTGTTACCGTGTGGTTGGGCAATCGATTTTCGTCGGTGAATCTGATTAGATCATAACCTAAAATCTAAATACCAAAGAAAAACACCCCCGATCGAAAAATCGCGATCCAAAAAGCGAAGTAAACAGCATCGATCGAAGAAGAAGAAGAAGAAGGAAAACACAGAGACTTCTCAAATGTTATGAGTATCTCTGATCTAATTCTCAGAAACTTCGGATTTAAAAGCGTATCGTTAATGGAGTTAGAGAAGAACTAATTAAGAAGATATATACGATCTTCTTCTTCTCTTTTAAACGACTCCATTTTTTTTTCTTTTTTTCCGTTAAGCATATAATTCAAATTTGAAAATAGAGGGAAAGTCCCATTTCCAAAAGGAATCAAATAAAACGTTACTAAAAAAATTCACATGGCCACGTGGACACCTATTATTGGAGGTAGTCCCATATGGAAAACGCTCACGCGCGATCACCAGCTTCGTCTCCTTTTCTGTTCCATTTTTATTTCTAAAAGAAAATCCATAAATTAAAAAAAAAAAAAATCGCGCTTAAGGAAAAGGAAAGAATAGGCTGTATGATTTTTGTTTGGTCTATATGAAACAATGTAGAGCTAAAAAGTTTTAGATTATAATATTTCATTATACAAAATATAGGCATATAATTTTGCTTCTATGGTGCTTTTATGAACCAAGTGATAATACTAATACAGTAGTATGACGAATTTGGAAGATAAGTGGGATACATTTATGTTTTTTACAGAATGCTGCTAAATTTCTTATAGAAACACACAAAAGTAAAACCAGAATCTACCAAAGTTAAACCGGATTACACAATCCTTTGAATTTAGAAACACTCTGGTGAGCAGAGATCCTGCAGCAACAGCCTCACATCCTTTGAAACACTGATTAAATCTTTCTCAACTCCATCTTTAAAGAATCCTCGATGAACTTCCTTGAGAACTTTCAAAACACTCGCCAACGACCCATCCTTGTGACTCTCGTCTCTCTTCTCCTCTGCATAAGATGATTTCTTGTACTTCAAGTCACCGCTTGTCCTGTCTCTGAAGTAGTTGTACTTGGTGATCTGTAGCAAGTTGTTCTTATGATCAGGCCATACTTGTGGAGTATCATCCACAATCACAACCCCACACTCATCAACCAACACAAGATCAAGCGTCTTCGTATAAGGACTATCTTCTCTGGTTATGACTCGTTCTCCAAAATATACTTTCTCTGGATCAATCAGCTTCAGAACGGTCTCGGCGTAATCGCGACCGCCCATCGTGTAGACATACATGCCGAACATCTTGTTGGCTTCTTCGAGAAACTCGTGAAGAAAAGGTCTTAGCTTTACTATAAACTCGCTTGAGTGGCCGATGTTAAACCTCCATAGATCCTCTCTTGAATCGACTTCTCCGATTAGGTAATTTTCTTCTTCGGAAAGCTTGGAAACCATGGCGGTGTGGAGAAGCGTGTGGTCCAAGTCAAGTACCAGGTGAAGCTTCTTGTCGTTGAGACAGGTGACGTGTGTTGTGAGTCGCTTCGTGATCGCGACGGCTTCGTGGCTTAACTGTAACCCATCAACGAGATAGTCGAATCTTTTGCCTTCGTGTCTCGCCACCGTTGATCTGCAGTTGCAACAGATTCCGTGACGAACGAAGAAGTGACCACAGTTAGTAAAAGAGGACCAAGAACTTGTCACGTTCTCTATCTTTCGCTTTCTGGATTTTGGTTCTGGTGAGAGACTTTGAATCAGAGACATGTTGCTGAATTGATGAACAAATTAAGTTTCCGATAGAACTAAATATCTCTCGACTGAAACCCTAGATTAGAGAGAAGAAGTCGAATGTGAGAATGATTATTGGTTTGGACTGATGGGAGATGCCTTGTATATTTTATAAGCGAAATTAAGAAATCGTTCAGGAGATTTCCTTTTTTGAACACACGCGCTTCACTGATGAATAATAAAAATAATGTTAATTACTAACAACAATAACAACAATTGTATATGAGAGAGAGTTTCCTTTTTTGAACGCACTTCACTATTTAGATTTTGTTTAGATTCTGTAACAACAATATTTTAAGAATAATTAATACGGATAAGGGGCTTTGATACGTTTTGATTTTGTTGAACGCGCGTGTCTAAAGTGTAAGTAAAATATAGTATTTACTTGTTTCTTTATTTATTTACCTTTGAAGATGCTCTGTTTTCCTTTGCTAATTAATGACGTGTTGATAATAAATTATAAATTGGAATTATATTGTAATGCTTCGTATATAAAAGAATTTAAGTAACGCGAGGGAATAATAATGATATAGTAAAGTGAAAGACTTTATTTTGTTTTCGTTGAAATAGAATTGATATACAATGAAAAATACGTTCACGTTTGTTGAGTAAGTTTAGACAATTGTTATCAAGAAGCATAGTGAGTTAGTGATATGAGTTCAATTCTTGTTTTCACTCCAATATCTTTTTGTAACACTTTTTTTAAATGTGTTTTATATTTTTCTCACAAATAAATTTAAATTTGTATCTATTAATGCAAAATATATCTACTGTATATTCTATTTATTTTAGTTTTTTTCTTCCCTCACGTGTCTAATATTATAATACTGTCATAATTTGACAATTTGTATTCAGTCAAAAAGATGCCATACTGTTTGGAGGCAAATCCAGCCTTTCGTTTAATAAAAAGGTTATAAGAAATAAATCCAACTTTTACTACTCTTTTGTTTTTTGGGTCAACTCCAACTTTTACTTCAAAATTTCATAATAAGCATTGCCAAAAAAAATAAAGAATAGCATTGAAAGTCTCTTAAGATTTTAAGATTAATTTATTCAGTTTATACTGTAGATTTAACCTCTTCTTTTTCTAGTCAATTTGTTAAATAAAGAGTGTGGAAGAATATATGGCTCTTTTTTTTAACCATACTATTATTTTGTCACACACCCATCTCCATAATTTAGCTAAACTTTTCGTATATTTTAATCTTTGTAAAAAAAAAAAGTCGCACAAGTAAAAAATTTGTGAGACAACGCCGACTTTTTTAAGAGTTAGGACTTAGGAATCAGAATATTACCGTTGGGAGACAACGCCGACTTTTTGTCAATTAGAATTAGTTAATTACATTTTAAGATACACGCGCTGAAGAAAAAAAAAGGAAAGAATAGGAGTGACCTTAAATTTTCCTTTTTTGCTTAGATTATACTCCTATAAGTCCTCTATATATACAGAGTAGGAGTGTCGCAAGATTTTCTACGTAATTCCCAAGGAATCACAAACAAAACAAAAAGAAAATTGAGAGAAAGGTTAGAGCTTAGAAAGGCGATTGAGAAAGCGATGACGAACGACAACGAAGAGCTGTGCAAGATCATCGCCGTCGGCAAGATCATGGCCGAGAAACTGAGTCCGTCGGAGATGGGAAAGTTGATTTCCTTGATTCAAGACTTCGACAAGCACCGAATCAGTCACGGCGATTTCGGCAAATCTATTCAACTTCTGTTCGCGCAAAAACACCAAGAAGATGGAAAGACCCAACAAGAAGTTGAAATCCGACAAAACCATCCTCGTAAGATTTACGATCCTCAACCCGAGCCGAATAGTCTTCCGATTAGGGTTAGAGTAGTCTCGAAAAAGTATGGTCACCCGAAAATCGGAGCCGATCTTCAGGTTAGGGTTAAAGAAGGCGTTACCAAAGTGTTCAGTTTAAACGGAAAGAAGAGAAGGATCTTGGAACCGGACACAAGTGATGAGAGGTCTGTGAAGAAAACGAGAACGTCTAAGAGGATGGAACAAGATGTGTCACCAAGCTATGTGCTTATACCCGAGGAAGCACGGTCTCCGGTCAAAGACACGGTGCTGAACAACACGTGCCGCCTCAAGAGGTTTGATAATGCTTCGGGGTATCATAGACTATCCAAATACCAAGTAGCAATGGCGACTTGCGAGGATGAGATGTTCGAGACAGATATGCTGATGGGTGCTCTGAGGAGTGCCATTGATACTGCAGAGAGAGTCATGAGGGAAGAGATGAGACTGGAAGATGTTGGAGTAAAGTTCTACAGATGCATCGACCAGTTATATGGTGGCAGAGACATGTCTGACATTGTGAGAGAAGACCACAAGAAGGCTTTACCTTTGATCTCCGGTCGGTTGAAGCAGAAACTGGATGAGCTCACATCTGCCAAGGAAAAGAGGAAATATGGCTGGCAGAAGATCTTTCAAGACAACACTGCAAGACAAATGAAGTTAGACAGCAAAAGGCCAAAAGCCAAATGATCTTTTAGATTGTCAGGAATGTAAAAAGGTTCTCTTTTGTTTATTATAGTTCCGAAATTATGTATAACAATTAACAAGAGTGTTTTTATGAATCAATGAAAAGGCAGATTTTAACACTTGCATATCAAAGTTTTCAACCCAAAATCTCTGTCTCGCTATATCTGTATTACGCCATTATAATATACCGAAACACTCAGACTAGTCAAAATCTCTATATAGTTTATATTTCTCAATACACCATTATCAGGTAACAAGAGTAGTGTTGATCCAAGTGAAGACCCTGAGATTTTATATTTCTTAAGCAGCTAATGTTTACAGAGTCATGCACCAAAGTTGGGATTTTTGTGAATCAAAACAACAAACACAAAGAAGATATGAAGAATAGAGATCGGATTATTACTTCATATGATTTGATGTTTGTGGGAGTTTTAGTCCTGAAGTAGTTTGAGGTGAAATCTCTTAAACAAGCAGAGAGGCCTTTGAGTTTGAAGTAGAATCCAACATTGCACAACAAATCCTTGCTAGAGTCTCCTGCAATTCCATTATAAGATCTTAGGTTAGCTTATCTTTGCTGGAATTATAAGACACAAGTGCATATAGATTCGTTCTTGACTGGGTTACATCTGCAGTAAGATACTAAAGAGTAATCAATCAGTGTTTACGATTAGAATGCACAGAAAATTCGTTTATAGGGCAGTGTTAGTTATCTTTGCACATGAACATATAGATTAAGCAACAGGGATCAGAATATTAATTTTGTTGAGCTAAAGTTTTTTTCCCCACATGTATATGTTTGATGTCTGATAACACTGCAACAGAGATATGACATAATTGTTCTCAGGAAACATGAGAGAATAGTTGCGTTATGCTAAGCAATCACAGGGCCAAGTCAAGAGTATAACTTGAGATTAGTATAATATATTCTCTAGTCCTCACTCTACTGATCCTATTTGAAATTTGAAACCTTTCCTGACTCACAAGATTCTGAAATTTAGAAATTTAGAACCCTCATCACAAGAGTAACCCAATACTACGAACGCTTGATAGTAACAAAACCAAATGCTACCTTTGGAGTCACTTTAAGAGTTGGTCCCAAATGTGAAGGCTGTCCACACAAAGTGGGATCCATCTGATACCTTTTTGATTTTCCATTCTCCTTGTTACTTCTGATTAGGTAGGCACAAAATTATTTAGAAATCAAAGAATGCTCATTACAGTTGTAACACTTGCAAGATTCTAGTCCAACATTGTCAAGATGTCAGCCATAATATTGTATGTAATCACATCATAGTCTATTAAGCTCTTATTGACAAAATATGCCCTAATGTCTTACTCAATTGAACCATTGTAAGAAAGTCATTACCAGAATAAAATGCTCATCAATCATTGGACCTTTCAGGATTCATCAGAAGCTCCTTTCTCCTTTGAGTTTATGAGTTTTTTCAGGATCGAAACCCCATCAAAAGCTTGCAACTGCAAAATCAAAAGGAACTTTCTTCAATGCAAAAAATTGTTCTTCCGCATCAAAAAATTGTACACTCCAATTTAAATTTCTAATCAAAAGATGGATTCGGATAGACACAAAGACGAGATTGTTTGAGCTCTGAGGAACCACTAACCATCGGAGTCTCTGGTTTTCGAAGAGAACGAACCATCGGAGTTGCGAATTGAGGACGAGTCACTCGACGGATTCGCCATGTTTGCTGGGGAGATTAAGCTTTTTGATTGGTTACAAATATAATGAGTCTTTGATTGGCGAATCACAGTGATGTATATCACATGCGTAACCACGTCATCACATGCGGAGCCATGTCATCACTTGCTGAGCCACGTCATAATTTGTGTGACCTTTAAAAATCCAAGGACAATTAAACATTTTTTATTTATCACTGGTTTCTTTCCTTTCTTTAGCCACTAATTGATTTTTCCAAAAATACCGAGAAAAATATAAAAATTTTAAAAAATTAATTAACTATTTTTCATTGTGCTTTTTATTATTAATTTTATTGAGATGACTTGCATGAAATTTTATATTTTAGCTCCAAATTTAAGAAACAGTATTAAAAAAGTAACATCGGTAAAGAAGATGGGCGACGAGGACGACACTAAGGTTTTGGTGGGTGTCGACCAGGATGCCACTATGATGGAGATCGGTGAGAGGATGAGGCCGCCTGGAGAGCCACCGGATAGACCAGCGTCGTGGGCATCAAAGGTGACAGGTACTAGTGTGGGTGGTATGCCGGTACCGGAGATGGTTTTAGACGAGAAGTTTGTGACAGAAAGGCTAAGGGTGGCGTTTCCACATGGCGAAGATGGGGAGCCTGAAATCACGATAGAAAGGGAAGTGTTGGAGGCGATGAATGGGTTATAGAAACAATGCTTAATCGTCAAAGTGCTGGGTCGAAACATTGAGATTGCTGCCTTGAGTAGGAAACTAAGGGAGAAGTGGAAGCCGCAGGGTATGATGAACGTGATTGACTTACCTCGCCAATTCTTTATGATAAGATTTGAGTTCGAGGCGGAATACTTGGCGGCACTAACAGGTGGACCGTGGAGGGCGTTTGGCAGTCATCTTATGGTACAAGCCTGGTCTCCAGATTTCGATCCATTGAGGGATGAGATCATGACGACACCAGTGTGGGTGCGATTGATGAATATACCTGTTAACTTCTACCACAAAGCCATTCTAATGGGCATTGCTAGGGGTCTCGGAAAGCCAGTTAAAGTGGATATGACCACGTTGAAGTTTGAAAGAGGTCGTTTTGCTCGGGTTTGTGTAGAAATAAACCTCCTTAAACCTCTGAAAGGTACGGTTCTTGTGGTAACCCAATCCGGTAAACCGTACCGCGGCTGTGTCCCACTACATCCTCTAAGTCCGTTTCTATACTTAGCCATATTTTCGAACTTTTTCTTTATTTTTCTAAGTCTTTCTTATCAATACACAGCGGAATATAAATAACTCATTTCATTCATTTAACTCTCAAAAACACTTTAACAGATTCGGGGTTCCACATAAATCAAATCACAAGGTTCACTAACGATTACAACCAATCATCTAGCAACCTAAACGGTCAAACACCAAAGCCATAAGACTCTAAACACAAGTCTTAACACAAATAAAACCAAGTCCCGATCCATCCATTTCCATCACTGCCGCCTGGTCTCGCCCCTTACTGCTTAGTACCTGCACACTCAAAATGAGAGGCATAATTATTTCATAAATACTTAGTGAGTACGGTCATCCCGTAACACCTGGTCAGTACCAAAACACGCAGTCATACTTTCGGATTCAACATTCAACACAATCAATTCGCAATAAACATAACCATATCAAACGGCCATGATCATCTAGCCTTACCAACCAAGATCAATCCCTTTTTAAGACCCATGTCTACTTCAGCGAGAATCCCACATCCCCTAAGCTAGTACATGATCCGGATTACCCTGAGGTTAGCTAAACATCATATATGCCATGGTAAACACCACAATATATCACAACATAAGGATTGCTTATCAATTCCAAACACATAACATGAAAAACACACAATCAACATTCAAAACACTTAACCCTAGCAATCCTACGGTCCTAGACCCAACCACGGTCACGCACTCACCTTAGAAAAGGCTAGAAACAGATTGGTCAGAAGAAATCCTGATGAAAACCGCACCAAAACGAAGATATCCGATCTCTCTAAGAATCTCTCGGCTCACAGTACGATCCGATCCTTATCCCCTCGGCTATCTCTTGATCCGTTCACCTTTCTTCGAGCCAAACTCTGTTTTCCCTCAGAAACCCCACATAACAAGGCTATTAGCTCGAGGTTATCCGATGAAAACTCAACACTTAGGGAAATATCCGATCGCTTACCAGTTTATCTCGGCGATGATCGGTTATGCTCGGCGATAGCCTGATCTCTCTCGGATGTCCTCGGGATAAACTGTTTTTCTTAGGGTTTTCTCTTGACTAAACTCTCTCTTTGCTTTATTTAGCTCAAATAAACGCAACACCCTCGAGTTAAGTCTCAAATTCCCTTATATACTCGCAAAACCCTAGGTAACCCGGACTTATCCGACGTTTTCCTGGTTCCAGTAGGATTATCCCGGTCCGATTCGATTCTCTCGGCTATTCCCTGTACCGGCTCGACCCATCCTTCGATAAACCCCAAAATAGCCGACCAAACACTTGGCCCACGGCCCAAATCCCTTCCCACTCGGATAAACCGCCCTTATCCGAGGTATTTTCCATTTTCATCCGGATATTCCTATTTCCCCGGACAACTTGTCCCACCTCGGCCAATCCTCTATTTCTCTCGGAGGTTTCCTATTCCCCCTCGGAGACAGTCCACAGACACTCGGACTAACCTCCAAGACTCTCGGATATATCCCACTGCACTCGGATAAATCCCATTTCCCTCGGACTGGACCCTGTTTTCCCTCGGATATGGTCCATCCGGCTCGGCTATCCAGCCCACATCCGACTATTTCATCGGTCAACACCCGACCATAGTCCGAACCTCCATTTCCCAGCCAGTATCCGACCCTTGGCTCGGTCATCCCTCGGACAATGCCCTGTCCGGTACTATCATTCCACATTTTCTCGGATACGGATGCTACAACTCTCCCCCATCCGTTCTGGATTCGTCCTCGAATCCGACTCATCCGTTTGCAACTTGTCAAACCATTTGGGATACTCAGCTTTCATCCTAGCCTCCTTTTCCCAAGTAACATGTTCATGCCCGTCGCAGTCCCATACGACCTGAACCATTCTGACCAGCTTCCCACGCTTAGTCTCCTCTTTCCGATCTAACACTCGAACCGGCCTAGCCACTACTGCAAGGTCCTCTTGCAAGTCTGCTGGCGGCTCCTCTATAACCGTTTCCCGTTCGGTAATGTGCTTCCTCAGCTGCGACACATGGAATATATTGTGGAACGCTCCCATTTCTGATGGCAAGTCCAACTTGTAAGCCACTGCGCCCACTCTTTCCAGTATCCGGTACGGCCCCATGTACCTCGGATTCAACTTGGCACTCTTAGCTGCCCTATCCGTTCCCTTATAAGCCAGTGCCTTAAGATAAACCATATCACCCACACTGAACTCCAGATCCCTGCGATGCTTGTCCGCATAACTTTTCTGCCTGTCCATAGCCTATTTCAGCTTGACCTTTAACAATCTGA